CATAAAAAGCCGAGCCTCCAGCAGAGGGAGTGCGCGAGTAGGCTTTCTCCGCGCCTGCCAGATGTGCGCCAGATGCGATCCCCGCCGCTGCTCCCTTTCATCTGCTTGCTCGCCCGTTGGTGGCGAAGCCTGTGGGGTGGCTTCTTTGCCCTGGCACTGCCCGCCAACCGAGGGCGGACCGGCTCGGGGAGGCGCAGCGCGGCGCCAGGGAGAAGCCGGGAGAGCTGCGCTTGCAGACGCGCCGATCCTGCTCGATGGCTGATGAAGGCCTGGACTCGCGGGGCTTTATTTTTGTAATCTCCACACTTCAAAGAGAGGCCCCGGCAAGCTTCATTTGACCCCGGTCGCTGGCCCGGCTTTGGCTTGAGAAAACACAGTGCGGAGACCAAGGCGGCCGCCCCCGCCTCCCCCTGCTTTCAGGCGGTCGGGCGCTGCGAAGCTCCGGGGGAGCTTGGTTATTTAATCAACACATTGGCACGTTTTCTTTTCTCCCCTTCTACGGGCGGGGGTGCTGACCTTCTTGGGTGGACCCTGGGCGCTTTCTTTTCCCTTTCTCCTCAAGGGCCAGCTCTGCCTCTCTAGGATAGGAGAATCCAGAGCTAACCCCGCCAGAAGAACAGCAGCGGGAGGAGCAACGTTTTCCTTTCAGGCACCTTGCCCAGACTGGTGGGAATTGTAACTGGGTAGATCTGGAGCAGCCCAGAGTGAGGGAAACGCCCCCAAGGGTAATGGAGAAGGAGACGGAGCGGGTTGAATGTGCTGGAAAGCGCCCAGGAGTTAACCCTGCAGTTTGATAAAGTTGAATGCTCTGAGTTTCTTAACAATTGTCCATATCCCTTCCCCTTCCGGGAGAAACAGAGGTGGATTTTCCTCCAGCTGCCCTGTCGTTAAACAGAGAAAAGCACAGGAGTGTCCTTGATGCACATTAAAAATGGGTGGAGTTTCAGTGGCACCATCAGGGCTGCCATCTTGACTCTTTTGACCACACCATGGAAAGACAACTGCATACTAAGGCAGTGGGGAGCAGTAAGGTATCTGGGAATTGGTATTAGTCTTGAACAGGTAATCTACTGCTCTCAGATACAAGGAAAAAGGTGACCAGTCAGTGTTGTCATTCTCAGTGTTGAACTACTGTATCTTTTCTTTGGTCTGTAGCTGCAAAATGTCATGAGCAAAGAGTAAAAGTCTCTAGAGAATCTGAGATACATAGAAAGTCAGTTACAGAGTTCCCCAATAGTAACCAATGTTTTGTTTTCCTCTGAAAAAAATGCACACTCTTATTTTCCATTCATCTTATTTTCTCATTTTAAAATAGCAAAGCTTCTCCACTCCATTCTCTTTTGTAGAAGGCAGAAATGCATTAAGTTTCACTTCCAACTTGGTGCTGCACAGATCCCACCTTCTGAACTTCTGTTTCTCATAAGCTTTTCTATAACGGGATGAAAACAAACGCCGACTTAGTTTTTCTAAAAACACAAAGTGAAGAGTAACACTATAATTTTGAGTTGGTTTCAATTTTCTATTAAAGCTTTCAATGATGGAGCACCACATTCTCCAAACTGGTGATCTTGGCTTCTTGCACAGACTAGCTCCCTAATCTTGGTTAAATTCTCCACCATCTCTCAGAAGGCAAACTGTGTCAATCAGGGTTTTCTAGGACATTCCTGATTTGCCTGACATCTTGCTCACTGAGAGGATAAAGGAAGTCACAACAGGATTAGCTAACTCTGACTTGATATTAATCAATAGGAAAACCTTAGTCAAGAATGTAAAAGGAACAGAAATGTGGAAGAAAGTGGCTAGCTAATGCTGAAGTTCTTGATTTTAAGAGATGCTAAAGCTTAGCTTAGTTCAAGATCCATGAAAGCCCAAGTGTGAGACGGATGACTTGTCAATTACTATAAGTGGATTCACACACAGCTCAAAATTATTACTTGAAGAACGTCCAACAATAGTTCTCATCAACCACCAAGTGGAGTGCATCAAAATTCAATCCTGGGCCTGTGCACTTCTCAGCATTTTCATAAATGACTTTGATGAGAGATGGAAAAGGCAACTCATCAGAATTGCAGATGAAACCAAATTGGGTAATATAATAATACCCAGGAAAACAATTCAAAACCATCATGGTAAGAGAAAGGAGCTGAATTAATACTTCTAATGCTGCTGGTTGTCCTCTGCTTCTCTTCACTTCCACTTTTCCAGGCATTAGCACCTTCTCCAAAGAGCTAGGTCTTTGCACAATATAATTTTAGCCTGGTCATTTGAACCTTGAGTGAGAACTCTGGGTTGATTTGTTTGATGATCCACTGGTTTGTTTTCTTGGCTGTCCGCAGTATTCTCAAGAGTCTTCTGCAATGCAGCATCAATTCTATCCTGCTTCTTCAAAATCCAACTTCTGTTATGACATTATGTCATAGGAAATACCATGGTTTGCATAATTCTGATCTTTGTAGGTACAGACGCATCATGGCACTTAAATCTCTTTTCCAAGGGTCAGACAACACCTCTGTCAAAAGATTTTGCAAGTGCTCTCAATGTGCAGACCTGAGAAATGGAAAGTCAGCTTTCACATAATGGTGGGAGGGGAGAAAAAGAGAGACAGTTTAAGCCCCAGACATGACAAATGAATATGACTAGCTTCTGTAGAGCTGATCTTCACCACTGGAAGAGCTGCTTCCAAATCTGCAATCAAAGCAACTTACCTATTTGCACCTCAATCTTGAATCATCTTGTGTGTGTGTGTGTGTGTGTTCCTAGAGAGAGATTTGTTGTCATGCCATGGTGAAGCTCTGAAAACCACAGGATTAGGAATTAAGTCCTATTAGGAGAGAATGAAGGAATTAAGGATGGTTAACCTTGAGGAGACTAAGAAGGATGTGATGTCACTCTTCAAATTCCTAAAAGGATATCCCACAACAGGTCATGGCCTGTTCTCCATTGTTCCAGAATGCAGAACAGGGAATAATGGATTTAAATTATATGAAAGCAGATTCTGACTGAATAGTAGAATAAGCATTCTAACAGTAAGAGCAATAATGGTTGTTCTCCTTTGCTCCATGGGTGGAAGTCAAGGTTAAACAACTATCTGTCAGAGATGTTTTGATTCCTTTAGTAAGAAGTTGGGATTATATAGTTCCCAGTTCCAGCTGCTACAATTCTGAGTATTACAGGTGGGTGAGAGATAGGTCTGGGAAACTGATTCATTGGATTTGAACCTATTGATTTGTATATCACCCTCATCCATTACCTGAGGATTGTTCTTCCTGTACCTGATGAAGTAAACTCTAGCCTATTAAAATGAGCATAATGTAATGAAATGTTCCTCAACTTTGGCAACGGTAAGATAGGTGGACTTCAATTCCCAGAATTCCCCAGCCATCATGCTGGCTGGGAATTCTGGCAGTTGAAGTCCACCAGTTGCCCAAGTTGAGAAACCCCAATGCAGTGCAATCTAGTGATGTCGGGGGTGGGGGCAGAATGACAAAAGCATGCTGCAAACCCCTCCCCTTTATAGTGTGTTGTGATGTCACATGAACATACAAAAGGGGGGAACTTATGGTGTGAAACAGTGATGCCGTTTACGTCAATCTGACGAAAGCAGCAAGGTCCTGCAAACATCCATGATGCAATCCTATAGTCAGAAGTCTTTCTAGTCTTTTTCTCCATCAAGGATGTTAGGATTCTGCACTTAGCCTGTAATATGTTACAGAAGTCTCTATTTTTTGTATTAATACAGCATTACAATATTAAGGCTCAATAGGATTATAAGGTTGAGCAGCCAGTCTCGTACAGTGAATTTTGCTCACAAGGACTGCGTAAACACAGGCAAGCAGCAAATTATCCCCAATGACTTTATCTTCTCTCTCTCCTGAAATTTAATTCCTTCTTGGAGATTTCCTTTGGTTTCAGAACCCTTGATGTACAAGTCAACCCACCCAGCCTGACAGGCCTCACTCCTGACACCACCCACGTATTTTCCTGTTAGTAATTTGTTCTACTATTCTCAAGAAGCAAGATGGCATTAAAGTACTTCCTCATTTTACATTATCAACCCTCACAAAATGGAACGGCCTATTTTGAGAAATCAAGGGAACTGATTTCCAGGGATATTACATCTAGAATCTAGAACTGTTCAATATATTTTTTAATTGAGCTCCTCTCTATATTTTCTTAAACAAATTTGTATTCCAGGATATACTTTTTGTGAGTTCACACCATTGAATACTGTTAGATTTTCTGCACAGGATTGGGTTATTAAAATGAAAGTGCCCTTGAGTGCTTTATGGCCAGATAGTGAGCATCATATGAGATCATCTCAGTTTATATGAAATAATTGGAGAAAAACAGAATTTGAATAAACCTGACTATTTCACATCTTTTAACTGTAAATTATTAATCTGATTTGGCAAGACTGCACAAACAAGGGGATTGCCATTGCAGTCAAGTCACCTTGCCGTCAAAATTCACTTGAGGTGACTTCATTGATATGGCCCGTAGTTTTCTTTGCAATAATGCAGTAATTTGCCACTGACGTCTTGTAAGATATATTTTTGACTTCTCATTCTAGCCTACTGAACTGGCATTTATTCCCTAGGGATCTCCCATCTAAGTATTAACCCTGTCGATCTTCCAAACTCTTACACAAAGACAACACTAGAGGTTTGTTTGTTTTTAAAAGAGCCACATATAATCCAAATGGTTAGTCATAGTAATTAAAAAAAAAAGGCAACAAGTGTTACTAATACTCCAAACCACACCCAATAATCTCACCTAATAACAAATTGGTCAGAAATCCTACTCAAATGAATCAATTCATTTAAATAATTCATTAATTTGAATCCATGAATTCATTCATTCATTCATTCTGAATTAATTCATGCTATAGGATTTTATATATTTGTGTGTGTGTGTGTGTTTTGAATTCTTAGGAATTATATTAGTGGGGGAGAGGAAACATTTACTCATATCAATTACAATGTTCAGCATTCATTATTTCTTTAAAAAGGTACAACAAACTTCTACTATGGTTCTGACAATGAGTGTCTTTTTGTAGTACGTTTTTCACATCAATGTTTTAAACGTCATTAAATGGTGTTTGATGCAGAAGCAAAAAACTATTTTTGATGTCAAGAAAAAAGTGGAAGATTTGACTTTAAAATCACCTATAATAATTAGAATCCACACAGTTAGAGCAACCAAGTGCCCTTCAGATGTTTTGGGCTTCATATCCCACTAGCCCAAGGAGGCACAACCAATACCAGAGATTGTGAAGTTGTATTCCCAAATACTCCAGTGTTTCCAAGTACCTACTCCTGCTCTGTGACTCCCTTCTAATAATTATGCCTGCAATACTCTGATTAGCCAGGGGGAAGTTGCCACCTCCTTAGCTGTCTTGTGGCTCATCAGATACTAATTCTGAAGCTACTTACACCACTAAACCTTGATTTGTCAGAACACCACATTCATTTTGGCATTCTGGGGAACTGTATTGTGAAAAAGGAGTAGGGCCAAGACAAAAATAAAGTATTCACTACTTTAGTTAAATAATCACTACTGATTGAAATATTTTCTTCGGTCCCCCATGTAACCCTGTAGTGAAAAACACTAGGAAGACAAAAAAACATGCAACCCTGTGAAATAAATCTACTGCCCACCCCCATTTGATTCTATAGTTTTCACTGTGAAAGGTTTTAGGTTTTTTTTTTTTTTTCCTAAATCAAGATTCAGTAGCATAATAGGTGAAGGAATTCCTGCCTACCATTTACTTACTTCGGAATAAAACCTGTTGAACCCTGTAGATTTACCCCTGGATAGAAGCATGATTGTAGCTTATTTTTATTTGTCTGTTTGTCACATTTATATAGCCACCCATCTCATACCAAGTGACTCTGGGCAGCGTACAACAATTAAATAAGACAGCAAATAGATAAAAAGCAATCATAAAAAGTAATTATTAAAATGAAAATATCAAAAATTTTAAAATATACAAATCCCATGGAGGGAACACAATATCAATCACAGTGGAGCCATCTAAGAA